CATTCTTGATATAAAGTTGATGCACTTCCCACTCTTTGTTCACTATTAAGGAAATCAGAACTCTTATGGTGTTTAATTGGCTACTAGTGCAAAGGTCTCTTAAAAGTCTATTCCATAGGGCTATGTGAAACCTTTGGCCACCAACTTTGCGTTGTACCTCAGAATGCTCCTATTTGTTTTGTACTTGACATTGAACATCCATTTGCACTCAAGAACTTATTCATTTGGAGTAAGTTTTGTAAAGGTCCATGTGCCATTTAAATCAAGTGTTTGAATCTTCTCTTCAACTGTCTTTTTTCATTCTGGACTTTCAAGTGTTTCATGAATAGACTTGGGTATCTGCACGCTATCATGATTGGTTGCAAAAATTTTTGAAGGTAGTGATAACCTCTCATAGGTAGTATACTCATGGATGGGATAATTTATACAACTTTTCCCGTCTTCTCCACCGTATTCCATCTCCCTTGGAAATTCAGAGATGTGTGAATTCAGGTTTGGTTGTGAACAACCTGTGATTTCTTATTATCTTTATCCTGCTTAGTGGATTTCTTTGTCCTAGTATACACACAGTTTCTTGGGAATTCTATTATTGTCAATCTTAAGTTGGATGTTCTCAAGTTGTGAAACTTGCGAAACAATGGTCAGGCATAAGTAGAATATGTTGTGATGACTCTAGATTAGTATGAGTATCTAGAATACTGTCACAATTCTAATATTCACCCAACCTCTCCCTTGAATATTGTAGTTGGGGTAGTATGGTTGGTTTTCAAAGCATGTCACATTCATGGAGTTAGAATAATACTTGTGCTTCTTTTTGTTAGAAGCATACATGAGGAAGATGCATTAGATAGATTTTATGTCAAGCTTTGTCTGGTTTGGTTGGTGAATGTGAATAAAAGAGACAATTAAATATTTTTAGTGGAATGTTGGATGAGAAGACTCCGACGAGGGTATTTTTCCATCATAATATCAAGAGGGGCATTGAATCGAAGGACTCTGCTTGGCATTGTATTAATGAAATGCTTGTGATCTTGATCTCCCCCAAAAATTTTTTTTGGAAACTATGAGAAAATATTATCGACCTAGATAATTCAAGGAGATGTCAATTCTTTCCTCAGGTATCCCATTTTATTGCGAGTCCTAACATAGAAACTCATATGGATGATATTATTTTTTGCATTGTAGGTGCCAAGGATATAGTTGATGTACTCTCTCACATTATCAGTTTTGAGATTATAAATTTTGCATTGGAATTGAGAGTTAAGCGTGTTATTAAAGGATTGAAAGATTTGTACAGTTTCAGATTTCTCCTTCTTGAGAAATATCCAACTGGTTCTAGTGTAATCATAAAAAAAGGAGACAAACAATCTGACTCCATTGATGGGCTTCAATTTGAAGGTCCCCAAATGTCAATATGAAGGATCGAGAAAAGATGTGTTGGTTTGTATTATGATAGAGGATAAACATGACAAGTTTATTTAGTCTATTGGTAGGTTTTACATTGGTAAAACTTTGGTTTTTTATTAATAAAGAGATGAGGGTATAATTTTGTAACATGATGAAAGTTAGGATGACTTAAATGACTATGCCATAATGGAACTCGACACTCAATAGACTTAAACACAACAGACTCATGAACGCACGAGTAGTATAGTGGAGAAAGCCCCAGTGTTAAAAGAATGACTATCCTTAGCAAGTATAGACATTGTTGAAATTCAACACTGTCAATCACCTTCCCCGAACAACCACTAAATTCACAAGAGTTAGAATGAAATTTATTAACACAGTTCAAGTCATGACTAAGTTTGCTAATAGAAGGTAAGTTGCAATCTAATTGGGGAACATATAAAACGGAAGAAAATTGCATATCTTTAGAGATTTTCACTTCTCTTCTCCGAAATATCCTAGAGTGAGGTCCATCCATCTGCAAGTTTAACAAATTTTAAAGTGGTAAACTATTGGTCGGTGGTGAAAGCATATATGTTTCCAGTCATGTGATTCAAAACACCTGAGTTTATTATCCAAGGTTAAAATCTTCCATTGTTAGCGAAATCGGAGGAGGATATTATATCTTGTTATATCATCAAGCTATTAGGCTGCGCAGTTATGCTAGATATAAGTTTTTTCAACACCTCCAACTATTTCTTAATGAAGGGAGTAGAGTCAGCCAACCCTTCAGAAGAAGAACGACAGAAGCCTTGTTGTCATGGTTTTTCCTTTTTCAGGTTTCCAACATGCAAACTTTTTATGCAGTTTCCAACACTTGTCCTTTGCGTGATCATGTTTCTTGCAATGTTCACACAAGGGACGATTTTTCTTTGGCTTTGACTGATGGGAGGAGTTGTGTGTGTGCGACGGAGCTTTCAGTGTTAGATGAATCCACACTTCCTACCATTATGAGTTTCTTCCTTCTTTCTTCTCTTCTCACTTCAGTAAAGGCTTCCCTAGTGGTAGGCAAAGGCTTCATCCCCTTGATTATTCCCATGACCCCATCTAAGTTTTTATTTAAACCCAATAAGAACTTGATTTTCAACTTCTTCTCCACTATTATTTTGTACGTCATAGCAACTTGAGGCACTTTTATATATAAATATACATATCTAAATATAGCCATTACTTTGTAAGGTATTGAGTCACACTCAACCCTTCATGTCAGAGCTCATGCAGTTGTCTCAATCTCAAATAATATTGCAATATTTTCATTACTGGAATAAGTCTCATGAGTTGCTTCCCAAATCCCCCATGCTATCTTATAAGACAAGAAATTTCTTCAACCTCTGTGGTCATTAAATTGATCAACCAAGATATGACCATATGATTCTGGATCTTCCATGAGCGATGATTAGGAGTTGTGAACTCAGAGACTATGCCTTTTCAAATGAGATGTTCTTTATTTTTTTCACAAATGTACATAAACGCGAGTTGAAACCATCAGAAGAAGTTATGACCATTGAGTTCATGAGCTGTGATAAAGCGAGAGATTTATGAGGCTGTTTGAACATAATTTTTGGTTTTTGATTCATAACTAACCTCCAGAGTAGAGCTAGACATCTTGATGTTGTACTTTGTCATAAGCCCTATGCATGTTTTTAGTTAGAAAGAATTCATGGCTTATTGTGCTACTTGCTTGAATGTGAACAACTGAAAGTCTGGCAGGCTTTTTACAACTTCTCTTTATGCTCGGGAAGGTCCAGTTGGGTCACCGGAGGGAGGTTCTAGTGGGCTGACTAGCGGTATGATCCAACAGCTGCAGGGGATCTGATACAACCAAAGATCCTTGCTATAGAAAATCTTGTCCAACAGGAGATCTGTTTGGGACAGGCGGCTGTAGGAGATTTGATCCAACGGGAGACGACTGTTGTAGGTGCTCTGAAGTTCCAAGGGAAGTTATGCTTGGGACAGAGTTCCTGTAGGGGGAAGCCTACAGGAAAAGGAAGGGAAACTCGTAGGAAACAAGAAACGGATAATAGAGAATAAAACTAGATTAGGAAACTCGGAATTCCACATAAACACCAAATTGCATCATTGTGGAACACTCGTTTCCCGTTCAATCCAAATTAACATAATTCACTCTCATTGTAGTTCTCATTTAACAAAATCCACTCTCATTGTAGTTCTCATTTATACACTTGCTCCATCTTGAGAGCTCAAATAATGTAGCCGCTTTGGCACTCACAGTTTTTGTCATGATTTCTACATGTCGTAGTATTCACTTTGGGACTATTTTGTGATCATTTGCTTTCATCTCTCTCGCATGTGATTGCCTTTCTAACTTTATTGTTTCTTTTGATTAGCATATCCTGTGAAGGATCTAGCACATCTCCATCTTACATCTAGTGAGTAGGTTTCATCTCATGCAATTGTTTCTCACCTTCTGTGAACTAGGCACAGCGTCTGTAGTCCCTTTTATCCCTTATTATATTAAGTCATTTTATTGTAATATCTTCGATTATGGTGATCTTAACACTCTTGCATACTGTTCCAATTATTCATGATTATTATATTCTCTATTGCAATTCTTTTGATGGACATCATTTTAGCAAGAGTTAGCTAATAATAAAGATGACCCATAGTTCTTATTCAGTATATTCTTTTTATGAGATTCCTTTGATTTGCTTTGATAAAGTAGTTGATGGATTACCCCAAGGAGTGTAAACAAGTTAAGCTGAGTATGTGTTTGATATTACCACTATCCACCATTCTGTATGATTATAATTAGCTTCAAGCACACCCATGAGAGATTTTGTGTTGATGTTACCACTATCCACAATGTGGAGATATTACCGTGTCTATGAAGTTCGAGTTGCCCAACTTTGAAGTAACCATGTTTATGACTGTGCTTTATTGTTTTTCCGGCCTTCTTTTCATTAGCTGATTCATTGATGACTAAAGATGAACTGCGAAAACTAGGAACTAATCTTATGGATTATTGTAGGGCTGTTGATCGCCAGGGAAGCATTTTTGACATTTCAATAGAGTTGATGCAATACCTTCCCTTTTGGCTGATTCTTTAGCCAAATCATCTAACAGAAGTCTACTTTCTTATAGATCTTTGGCAATGAGTCAAAGCTTTAATTAAATTGAACTGAACCAATTTTTATGGTCTTTAGGCACATATTGAATTTTGCCCAATTTTTTTTAACTTTTAAGTTTTATTTATTTAGGCTGCCTTACCTTTTTTTGCTAAATTATGTTTGAAGTTGAATATTTTGATAGGATTAGATTTAGTTTCAATTAAGATTTAACTTGGTTTTCAATATAGGCTTTATGTTGGTGTTTTATAAATAGGGATTTATGGCTTGTGTTTGGATTTTTGATAATTGACCACTGTCTAATAGATTAATGATAATATTCTCGGGGTTTATTTGAGTCTTCTTTTTTATCGTAGTTATGCACATGGATTGCTCTGTGCTGTGTATTTGGAGTTTCTCGCTTTCAATAATTGAGTGTTCTTTCTTGATCCAAATCTTATTTGATTCTCTCTTATTTTATCTTTCCAGGCTAACGAAGGAGCAAACAAATCAACAAAGTAAGGATGTTCAAGAGTTGAAATCTTGTATGTCTATTATTGCAGAAAATGGACTTGAGGCTGATTCAATAAAAATGGATTCAAAATTATTCTGTATAGACAATGCTGCAGAGAATAGCTCACATTTTGATATTGCAAATAAAACACTTTTTCTATTTGAGGAAGTGGATGTTGTTTTTGATGAAGATCATGGCTTTATTTCTACTATATTTAAACTTGCAGAAACAACGAAAAGGCCCATTATTCTAACAAGCAATTGTAAGTGCTTATCAACCTCTATGTAATTATACCACTTTTGATTGAAGTCTCTTTAAGGTTAATAAATTTCTGCACATTGTAGCCAAGCGACCTGTATTACCGCATAAATCAAATCGACTGGTCTTAGACTTTAAAGTTCCATCATCCAGTGAACTACTTTACCATGCATCCATGGTATATGAGGTTTCAATTATATTATGCATACGGCATGTACTTAGAAAAAATACTATCCTCATCGGGGTCAACAAGCTGATTTTCTTTTTATTTCTTTAGGTTTGTGCCTTAGAGAAGGTTCATGTGTCCTGCGGCCTTCTTGAGCACATAATCAAGGCTTGTGTGGGTGATATTAGAAGAATACTCTTGCTTCTGCAGTTTTGGTGCCAGGGATTTCAAGGCATAACTGGTTGGTAACTCATGTACATCTTAACATCTTTTTCTTTAGATTTTTCCTTTCATGTTATTTTTTTAATTTAGAATTTTCATTTTATTTGATGCTGGCACTTCATTGAAAATTGCAATTCCCCACTTCTTTGTAGCTTCGCTTTCTTTGTGAGAGTCCATACCTGCTTTGCATCTGAATACCTCATGCATTTGTCCCACTGAATTTGTGTGAGTTCTGGCCTTTTGAAAAAAAAAACGAGATTCCATGATGAATGCTGCTACATTGTTGTGGATGTTTGCTTAAGGCTGTGTTTGGAATTATGAAAAATATATTTGTGATCATACCGCTTCTGATTGAGTTATGGCCTTTTTCAAAAGTCTAATAGGCTGCCCTTAATGGTATGGGTTAATCCCAATCGACTCATGGCTGATCAAGAAGCCCATTTGTCACTTAGTGAAATTTGTCTACCATCAAATGATGTCTAGCAACTCAATTTAAAAGAAAAAAAATGTTATGGTTATGATTTGAACCTATCTAATTGCTAACTAAATATTTTACTTATATTATGCTTCGAATTTATAAAATTCTGTTAATTTTCAGTTGACTTGATGCATATTTTTAGTTAAGACATTAGAAATTTGAATTTTGAGGTCAAATTAATGATATTTGTGCTCAACACTATTGCTTAAAATTTTACTTATGCAAGCTTGAGGTTATTTTGATTTGACATAACAGTCATGTGAATCACTATTTTTTAGGATAAATGCATTATATTTTGAAGGCCGACAAGAGCATTAGCGGATAGCTTTCAAATCAATATAAATCCAAGATATGAATGTTTAATGGCATTATGACACTTTTAAAATTTATTTTGAAACTCTTCCCAAATCAAACCCAAATGCAAAGCACGTGCAATTATGATCAATCAAATCACACACAAACATTAAAAAGATGTACAATATTGTGGAATACTAGATAAATTTAAATATGGAAATTGCTATAGCTTGCTTGCACAAAGTAAATAGATCAATACTTCACCTTGAGTATGGAATACCAAGGATGCAAAAGAAATACACAAAAGCGACAATCCAGATGAAGATAATGATGATATAAAGAGATACATGTGAAGAGTGAATAGTTTGAGTGCAGTATTTAGATTGATCCATTCACAAGGGCATATGAGCATTTAAGAAATTAGTCACAATAAGAACATTAAATTATATAAAATAATTAATTAAACGTGCAGAAATGAAAGCGCTAAATTTTGGAGTAATTGGAAACAACTATATGTATGTTCAACATCCAACTTGTACATCCAGGCTTAAAGATAACCTATTTTTGGGATTTCACGAACTCCCCTCTTTCGCTCTTTGAGTCGGTAATGAAATATTTACATTCTCTTCCTTGATACAATAAGAGCACCTAGTTCCTTTTATGGCAAGAGCACTGTTGACCTCAATTTTCGTGAGGTCTAGTATTTCTCGTAGGAATTAGGATCTAGCCTTAGGGGTCTTCCTGCGACTATCTTAGCACCTTAGAAGTGGTGCCCGCCTCGTTTTAGTTCGACCTATTTCCGTCCTCTTTTGGAGTTTCGCGTGTGCGGTATCGACTTCTAACACTTAGAAGGATGAAAC